ATCATCTACACAGCTGCTGCAGCACATCTATCTCACTGTAGAAATAATCTGTAGCTAACAAACCCTACACTATTGCTGATGTACAGGTCTGTGTATTGTACACTGAGTGTGGTGTTTACAACGACACGGTCACTGTCACTGGCTGATCATCTACACAGCTGCTGCAGCACATCTATCTCACTGTAGAAATAATCTGTTACTAACAAACCCTACATTATTGCTGATGTACAGGTCTGTGTATTGTACACTGAGTGTGGTGTTTACAACGACACGGTCACTGTCACTGGCTGATCATCTACACAGCTGCTGCAGCACATCTATCTCACTGTAGAAATAATCTGTTACTAACAAACCCTACATTATTGCTGATGTACAGGTCTGTGTATTGTACACTGAGTGTGGTGTTTACAACGACACGGACACTGTCACTGACTGATCATCTACACAGCTGCTGCAGCACATCTATCTCACTGTAGAAATAATCTGTAGCTAACAAACCCTACATTATTGCTGATGTACAGGTCTGTGTATTGTACACTGAATGTGGTGTTTACAACGACACGGTCACTGTCACTGGCTGATCATCTACACAGCTGCTGCAGCACATCTATCTCACTGTAGAAATAATCTGTTGCTAACAAACCCTACACTATTGCTGATGTACAGGTCTGTGTATTGTACACTGAGTGTGGTGTTTACAACGACACGGTCACTGTCACTGGCTGATCATCTACACAGCTGCTGCAGCACATCTATCTCACTGTAGAAATAATCTGTTGCTAACAAACCCTACACTATTGCTGATGTACAGGACAGTGTATTGTACACTGAGTGTGGTGTTAACAACGACGCAGAGACTATCATTTACTGATCATCAACTCACCTTCCAACTTATCAAACCACAAAAAGTGATCAAATTCGACATCTCTGAATCCTTGCCATGTACATGATCTCTTTTTCACAGTGAACTTTCAATGTTTATTTATGTAGCTTTTTTCATGGCATTGTCTTAGTTAAAATGTTTTTTTATGTTTTACTAGTGTATTTGATTTTTATACAATATATATAATTTTAAAATTGTCTTTTTCTAATTAACAAATAATGGAAAAGAATAGTTTGATAGAGTGCTTTATTGGAATAACTTTAAGTTTCGAAAATAGCATACAGTTTGGTAGTCAAAAGTTTTTTTTTTTATTTTATAGGCTTGTGGTTATTAGTTATCAATTATGTTAGTATGCGTATGAATACATTCTACATAACCACCTTTTAAGTACAGAGGTAACACTACCAATATAAATATAGCCAGTAATTACTCTTCATCATAGGTTATAAATATAAAATTACATTTTAACAACTACATAAGAGAAATAAATATTGATTCGGTTCGTAAAAAAGCACCTACATCTTAATTACGACCCTAGGGACGGACCTTCCCTCGTTAACCGTGTCCCGTGTCTGACGCTCAGCCACACGTGAAAATTCTCGGTGAATTTAATTAGCAAAAAGAGAGACCAGGCTTATCAGGAAGGGACAGAGCGGAAAAAGAAGAATAGTAACCGAGTTCGGCCGGGCGGCAGGGAATTTGCCGGCAAACGATCCCCACTTGATTGGCTACAGCTGACTGTTTGCCGCGCATTGAGACACCCTAGCTCAATACCGGACCTGTTTTATGTTTTAAGATTTTTTAATTCTGGTGTCTCATTGTGATTGCTTTTTTGGTAGTTAGTTTCTTTCATGAGTGACTATTTATACTAGTGAGACTAATTACCTAAATGATAATATTTTAATGGTTTTATTAAAATAATGATTTTGTGAATAATTTAGGTAATCTCTTTTTATTTAAATATTGTTACAATTTTGAACAATTAAATGTCAGTGTGTAAATTTTTAGGTTAAAAATAGGCCAAATTAGATGTATATCTGAACCATTATTTATAGGTTTATTTTAATCCAATTAAAATTTTCAAAAATGGTGGCATATAATATTTTTAGCACATAAGATTTACTATAAAATGACACCAAGTTGAGGGAGATCTAATTACAAATAACTGTAATATCCTGATTTTTAGTTGTAAATTATGTTGATCAAGGCTAAGCTATTCTGGTTTGCCTCATTTTACAACTTAAGTACGTGATATTTAAGTAATTATTTATTCAAACACTGTGAACTTGGTGACATTTGCTAGAAAATTTTAAATGCTAAAAAAAGCGTTCTAGACATTTGTTTATAAAATTCAAAATCTTTTGCAATTTCAAATAAAACAAATTTTAAATGTTTAATTGTAATTTGATTAGGATTTGTTTTTCCAACTTGGGTCAGTTTTTCCTACACAACCAAGTTTAATAATAATCGGTTGAAAAAAATCAAAGATAAAAATGTGAATGTGAAAACCTGATATCTGGGTAACGAAGCAATTTTGGAAAAGATTTTATTCTTGATTTCACTTTATTTTGAGCTATAGAACCATTTCCCGGAGTTTGGCTGTTTACTTACGGGACCCCCTGTATATCTACTCTCTCATCTCGAAAACTTGATTTTTAACTTATAAGTCGCTTCATTTGAACGACGTAAATTGTGTACATAATAAACCTGTGCAGTAGGGGTGAGTTAAAAAAATACGTCTATTGTCATGGTGGTTCTTATTTGCAAATTTTTGAAATAATTGTACCCCTTGATTAATGCAATGAGCATAATTACAGACGATTTAGCATTCAATAATAATCCCCAACTGTATAAATATTTAAATTTTCTCTACGGCCTCGTATTGAAGAACCAGATTTAGTTTTTTTTTATTCTATAACGTAAAAAGTCATTATTTCCAAAGAAAGTCCAACGGTTTGTAGGCCTATACATTTATTTTGTAGTAGTGATTCCAGGATAAAAGGTCCTGCAAGAGAACTTCTGAAAAGTGCTTCCTATATGCCTTCTATACTCTTCTCCTAGGAGTTACTAAACGCTCGATCATAAATCATCATCTTGAAAATAGCGCTTAGCTCCCTTCTTTTAGACATATCCAGTAATTTCACATGGATATGCATAATTACAAACTCATTAACTAAGAAATACAACAAAACACACTATTCTTACACAAGGTAATTCATTTAAGCGGTTTTAACCGATCAAACAACTTAAACTCTGTTTACTTTGTACCAGGCATTAAAACGAACACAATCACTCAGCAGAATCCCACTTAGTCCGCTCGGTGGAAGGTTAAAAAATTAAAGCGGGGTTTCGACCGTCGACCACTCTAAATAAAAGTAACGCTTTGGACGAATCGAGTTGAAATACTTTAAATGGAACCGATAGTAAAATGACCCATGGGAGTGGAGTGGGGAGCTCGATACCGATCAGATGTCCGTTCTCACGATCAGTTCAACTTTATTCGCGTTGTTTCGGTTTTACCCTGATCAGCTGATCGCCACTCAGGTGAACCCAGTGGATTACACATTGACTCCTTTGTGAGCTTGTCATATCAGTTCCATTATCCACCACTGGAGGTTCACAGCGCTGGTGTCACCCTTGTAATTACCGACTTCCTCTCCCGTCGTGTTTTTCCACAGGCAATATTTTACATCCGTTTTTGACTGTTTTGACAACATCGACGTTTGTAACGTCGTGTTTTCTTTTATCTTGCGTGAAAAGTGATTACCCAGGCCATTGTTGGGGTGTGAATTAATGGACTGTTTTTTCTCGGTTGTCCATTGTTTTTTGACGAAACACTTCTAACAGCATACGTTTGGTGACAGCGTTTGAATGTGAGGCATTTGGCGATTGTCTGTATATTGTTGTGGTATTTGGATGCAACAAATATTTGTATGTGGATTAACATGGATGAAGAATAAAAATATTATCTACCTATGCCAAATAAAGTGCATAATTCTTGTGTTATAGCACAGACAAAAAGAACTAATAGACGGTCAGCCGTGCTGCGGTTACCATGGTTACCATAGGTTCTGACCCACACCGCTGGGAGTGCCGTGTAGTTACATAGCGTGTATGCCACAACAATTGGCGCTCCCAGCGCTTTGCGCCAGAACCTTTGGTAACAGCTGACGGTCTATATTTCATTCTTCTTGTCTATGGTTATAGTTTTGTTCTACAACATAACAGCCCGGCTTGTTATCAGCAGCATTGCAACACTATTCAATGTTTGTAGGATGAAAAAAACTATTTGATTTTGTGGAAAATAAACCTCTCCACGACAATATGAATAGGCCGTGCAAACATTTCAATAGTATTGTTCTACTGTATTTTTTTGACAAGGAACCCTCCTCCTCCAAATGCAGAGTTAAGAACCTCTTAGTTTCACAATCTAACTCTTGGGACTTGATTTGGTACAATTAATTATATTAAGAGAATTGTAAATCAGAATTTGTTATTAGGTATATCAGAAATATTCCAAACGTATATTAGATAGTCTGACTAACACACTAGGAGAGGGATGTATCCGACTTATATTTCTTCCTTTTACTTTACCACTCTTTCTTTGGTTGAATATAGGGGCATAAAAACTTAAAAATGCCTTCAAACTGTAAACCATTTCATCAATAGTTTCTAGAATATTCTTTAATTGTTAGATATTAATAAATGTACCAAATTTGAAACTTTACGTTTCGGGATAAAAAACACAGAGAAATATATGTAGAAACTGATTTATTTTCTACTCAAATAGTACATATATACATCACATTACACTATTATACAGGTAGCTAAAGTCAAAACCACAAAACGTTAAACAGGGCTAATCACAATTCATAGGGAATTACAACCGATTAATTAGTTGAAGTGAATAAATTAAATTTTTGATATTACAAAAACTGTATGCAAACTAATAGTGAGAGAAGTACAAATTTTCAACAAACTTGTGCTATAAATAATTATCACAACATAGCACAAAATGTATCATTGTTTCTCATGGTATCTATTTTGTTCGAAAATAAATGTGTATTGGTGTTTATTTCAGGAAAAATATAGCTGAAACATATACCCAACATAAAGTCATTCTTATATACATGTTAAATACAAACAAAAATAAATAAACTTTGGGACCAATGGTATTTTCTTGTCTAAGTCATGTACAATATATCAATCTAACATAATATCTCTTTATATACAATACTTTAAACCTTTTACTATGTAAACAATATGAACAACGACTTAGAGGATATCTGTACACGGCACTGATTGTCTTTTAGGGGAGTTTTATGAGATCATGATGAAATTGCAGAAATGGATGTTCTTCACAATGTGTACTTGTGGACTTTCAAATTTTTAAATACATATTTTTTATATATAATTCAAGGGATTCAATTGTCCTTATAAAGATGCAAAAGGATAAACTTAACAAGCAACTATAAAGCTAAGCACTCAAAATTTATCAAAAGATTTTTTTCACGTCACAGTAAACCCCCAAATTCGATACGGTACTCTTTATATTTAAAAATGGGCTGAATTTATGTAAAGTACACTTTATATCGAACATCCACTTCACTTAACAACGAAACTTAGAGATTTTCAGTCTTAGTACGGCCTCCACACACTGGCTTTCGTCTGAGACGTCGTCTTCGGTAGGACCTTGCCAGGGGGTGAGATGACGGGAGTGTCCGTGGTGGGAGGGGGAGGTGACGCGGTGACGACGATGTCGGGGGACGTCGTGCCAGTGGTGGTGTCGGGCGAAGACCTGGCGGGCCGTACTTGCTGGAAGGCAGAGCGCACCGACAAGCTGCCGGGACTAGGACCTGCAGAAAAACAAAGACTTGTTAACACAAATATTTACAATGTTTTTAATTGTTGACTATTTAATTTACTTTAGACTGTGGAAACACTGCGGTCAAGTAGGCATCATTAGCTTTGACCGTGGAGAATAAAAGACTCTAGACTCCTAAGACTAAGACTCCCATTCTCATTTCAATATGTTTACAGACTTATCAAACTGAAAGAACAATGTTAAACAATTTGAGAAAATTGAATTTTGATAGTATTGAACTGTTTGAGTAGCTCAGGTATACTGACCTCTATCTTCGGCCTCGGATGTGTCTGTGGACGGTGGAGGGGACGGCTTCCTCAGAGGTGACCCTGGAGTCAGAAGGTCCATCCCTGGGTAGTGCAGCAGGTGAGTGTAGGCGGCGGGAGACAGACCCAGCGTGGGCGGGGGCAGGAAGAACTCTGGAGGCATCGCGGTCGTGGGGCTGGTGGCGGAACCTGCGGAAAAAACGAAGGTCAGAACCAGGAAAAAGGAATTTAACTGTGTTTAGTGGGAGCAGTAAATCATTGTCAGCATATTGTGTGCTTTGTCGAGGAAACATCTGCATCCTTGAAACACAATGAAACACTTTAAGTCTTGATTAGCCCAATGTTGATGTCAAAAATTCCTCGGAACCAAACATGAAACTATAGACGTGGAATGTTGTAGGATACAGCGCAAATTTATCCATGCTCTTACTGCGTTTCTATGCTGGTGGTGTGATGATTCATTTCAGTTTGAGTAACCAGTAGGCCTAGTAGCATATTTAGTACATAACTGTCTTGAAAATAGATTAGAGTCAAAGTTCATATTCCTAGTATACGAATACCTATCGTCACTATTATGAGATTTGTCCTCTATTTCAAAAGGGACTAATGTTTACTACGTCTATGTAAAACTATCCAAACAATAAACCAATAAATACAATGTACGAAAACACTCTCGAACAATAAAAAATAAAAAATAAAAATCATTGGAAAAATAAAACATCAAAAAGTAATCACGAGGCAACAACCCCTCGCATTGCGTTTATCGCAGCAACAGCCGCGTTGATTGCTGCTGATGATTTACGCGATGATGGGTGGAATCAACCCCAACAATATACGAGCGGCAGCGGCATTGTAGCAAGACTGATGACGTCTCAGGAGGCTTCTACACTGGTGACACTTAAAGGTATCTAACGTATGTATATAAGCAAAGACGATGAAGGCGGATTCAATTGTACACTCGCCCCACACCCCCGTCCCACAGGACCTTCTCCCCAACGGGGGTGTAAGCTCCAGTGAAATCGGATTACGCGAGGGATGATTCTCAAACGATGAAGGCTAATTCAACACGGCCCCTGGCCCTTGGCCTGGGGCACCTCGGCTACCCGACCAGTGTTTGATTTAACAGGATTTCCCTCTGATTTTCAATGCACGGTGATTGCCCCAGGATCGCTAAAAGGATAAAATTCTTCGTTGTTGATGAAATAGTGTTGATTTAAATTGTTAAGGCTCTGTGTGTATGCCTTCTTGATATAGGGGATTTTGACTCTGAGTAAAACAGAGGAATATAAGCACATTTTTGTTTAGAGACAACAGATCACATATAAGCAATATTAGAAAACAGGCCCTCTTGATTGACTAAATATCCTATTTCAGATTTCCATAAGATTTTCTGACAGTATTAAGTCTTAATCTTAACGTAGTATTTATAAAGAAAACTAAAATTATTTATCACCCTATAATGCATATTTTAGTTTATCCCATCACGTCGTAGTGAATTGTAGTTACATTTCCTCATTAAAAGGTACCTACTGTTTTTGAGTATATAGAAATTTAAAAACCTTCAGGGCTAAAAAATTTATAAACATTCATCACAAGGCTCGTATTTGTTTTAAAAAGTGAAAAATCCCCGTCCGCAACAGGGTTTTGACTAAATATACCAAATTGAAATATTATTTAGTGGTATAAAGGAAAAAATAGATATTTCCATATGCATACACAATTAAAAATTTAATACTGCGAACAACCCATTTGTATCTAAATAGTCCTTATTAGCATACCCCAACATGTGGCGAAATTGGCTCACCAGTTTTACCTGAGGACACAAGTAGCCCTCTATAATTAGGTCACATGCTAGGGTGAACTCCTGCTGCACCCTATGTCGCGCACCCTCCGTCCCTTGGACACCCTACAGCACCCTCGCGAGGTCGAGGATCAATAGTGGTTGTTTTCCATATCGATTGTGGTTCCCCTTTCCCATTGTCTCCCACTTCACCATGACTCATACCACTATAGCCACCGGGGCAAGATGGCGTCGTCATCTCCCTAGTGGCATTAACATATCTGGCCTCTGGGCATATCGTGGCCTCTGTCAAACAGGGATGTGGCCATGATTGAGAGCTTGACTGGATACTTGAGAGTAATGAGGCTTAAGGAGCCCACTCGGTTAAGGGAATTGTGCTGCGGAGTTTTAGAGATGATGATGCGGGAAGAAATTATTGGATAATATTGTACTCTATAAACGTAGTTATTTTACTTTCGTCTTGATCGTTTTGGGTTAGCACTTCGACAAGTCATAACTTGACGCAATTAAATTAAAAACCTTAAATATTTTGAAAGTTGATTTGGGATTGACAGCAGCAGTATACTGTATGCTCAATTTTTAACTTTGAAATATGTTTTTAAACGATGTGAAATACTGTCAAGTACTTAAAATCCACATGAATTTAGCCTATGTACTGCGTCTTGTATGTTTTTGATAATACCTCTTGATTTTAAGGGAATGTGCTTCATCTTGTACTACCAATTATTCCTATAAATTAACCAAAATCAATTGGTAAAAATTGAGCATTTTGAGAACGCGTTTCCGATAGAGAACGAATTACGATTTAGCAAAAATTCTTCGACTCATCCAAAAGTAAATTCCGCTTAATTACCACAAAAGGTGAACATCTGCATGACCACTCCTTAGACTGAAACAAAACCATCTTCTTCTTCACTTTTATCTGCAATAAATTTATCTCTTGGACAATATAGCTGGAGGCAGTATAAGATTCAATTCCTACCTTTGGGCAGGTGGCAGATGGGTGGAGGTGGCAGTTTACAGAGGTCCTGGGGTCTCCTGAAGTATTCTGGCCAGGCGTAGCTCATGTATGTGGCGTCAAGCCACTGGGGAGGTATCAGAGAAAACGGCCCAAAGCCTCCAGGGTGCTGGTAGTGGAAATCTGGAAAATACAGAACTTGTAAGATCTCTTGAAGAAGGGAACTAAGTAAACGTAATATATATGACATAATTCCGTGTGATCAGTAACGAGGTACCAAATGATGATGGAACCAAGAAATAAATAAATGTGATATTCTACATTATGTCACAACCCAAAAGGCCTTACAGCCTAATGTTGAATTAACAATATTAAAAGTCTCGAGTATCCAAAGATTTATTTTGTCGATAACTGATTTTCCTAAATGCAGTCGATATCTTGAACAAAAGATATTATTTCTAATTTTTCTATATCGTGATTTATGCTTTAAATAGTGTAAATGAATACCCTACTTAAATATTTTTAAATTACGATCGATAACTTAGAACAAACATTTTATTTGTTGAAGTAGGGGAATAAAGCAGAGATTTTCACATACATGGGAAGGCTATGGAGATAGGTTACAGTTACAATACTTTTTTAACTTTTCCAGTGTTTTATGTAGTAATTTTACTCCCCATCGCAATACCAAATAAAAGTAGTTCTTCGTAAAATCATTAAAACATTTGCAAATAATTCAAGTCAAAAATTTGTGAAGTTTATTTTTTTTCAACATACGAGTGTGATACTAATGTATTATTAAGAAAATTAGTAAACAATACAAAAGAGACAGGCAGTGTTAAATACTGTATATCTTAATATTTTAAACAAATGGCGAATAAAATTATAATTTACTTTACGATAATTACAGAAATGTATATCGATGAATTCACTCTTCCACACTGATCGAGTTTTAAGAACAGCAACTGAACCCCCGCACTGGACAGCCTGAGAACCTCCAAAACCGGCAACTGTTGAGGTTTGGCAGGTGATAATTTGAGACCAATTACCCCACTGGAGAGACGACGTCGACGAAGACCGCACAGAATTAATGAAGTTAATCGGACCTGGAACCGTTGAGCATAAAGGGCCAAAGACCCTACGAAGCTTAAAAAGGTTGCACCACGGGGCGGGGCCTTTCTTGAATGAGCCCTTCACCCTTTATAGCCCGTGTTTAAGCCGCTGGTTTACCTCTGGCTACCGCATGCAACTCTTTATAAGCCCTTTCATCCGCTCCTTTCTCAGACTTTCAAAGGAGGGTTTCTTTCAGTGTTGGTTACAAAACGCCAGGTTCCGTCCCGTCGGATTGTGTTGACACTTATAACGTTCGGGAAATGGATTAAAGTGGCGAAATGATTTACTCCGGAGCGACGTGTGTAGTTTTTTTGTGACTGCGATTTGAAATCAAATCTCCATTGTATGTTCTTACAAAATAATTTTACCGTCGAAAATGGAAGTATAAAATTACTTAGGTTCAAGGTTTCTTGAAATGCAAGATTTATTATTTACAACTGTCCATTCCGAGGATTGTACCATAAAAACTGTTTAGTGAAAAAAATTGTGAGGTATAGAGTTGCTGATTTACAACATTATGTAGGTAGGGCCTATTATTCTCCTAAAAAATAACTTAAGGTAATTCTCGTAAAATGTTCTCATAAGATGAGGTTTTTCAAGAAAACAGAATATGGTATTTTATATTTAAAAGGGTAAACACTGTTTTTCGTTGGTTTACTTTTGGGACAAGGTTGGTTTATAAGGAAATTAATCAGCAAATAGCTTATTGAAACATTACAAGTAACTTGAAGTACTTTTGACGTAAAGGAACAATTATTGACAAAAAGAAAAATGTTATAGCTATATAACTACTTATACTGACAATTAAAGTACTTTGGCGTAAGACAATATTGCACCAGGTGAAGTATTTATTCGAAATGATCGATTACGTATTAAAAGGCACTCGAGTTTTCATTCTTAAGCTGAAACTGCATTAAACGAGTTTTTCCTAATTTTTCTATGACAAAGTAATAAAAGTTTTTGATAATTAAATATTCCGTTCCTATTTTAGAATTATAATAAAATTGGAATAAGTTACAAGTAAAGTAGCAGAGTTTTGAGTAAGAATATAACAAGGTAAGAGATATCGTCACACAGTAATTCAAAGTCCACCACTACCGCCGTAATCGCCACTACCGCCGTAATCGCCACTACCGCCGTAATCGCCACTGACGTTGGATTTTGTAAGCGGATCCGCGCTGGCCACGCTCAGATGAATCGCCCATCGGCTTTTACGGTAAACATGCAAAGACCAATTGGAGAAGATAACTTTTTACAGATTAAAACGTCACTTAAAATCCGAAGCGTTTAAAAGCGTCCTCGAACGAGTGTTTGTATTCATTTTTATTCGATTTCGACAACCGGGGCCGGGGATTTGCCAACGTTTGCCCATCTCTCTGAGTGACTTACGCCACTTGTACACGAGAGGCGCTCGGCCAACGCGGCCTCTTTTATGGATTTCCCCGATAGAGCGATTCGACTTTAAACAAAACTCGTTTAATTAATTCGGATTGTTTGAAATGGAATGGAACAAACAGAGAGTGTGTACTTTGAATCGCAGACTTCTGTTTTATAAAGCTCGCTTATTTGTCCGATATAAACTCTGAATGCACTCCCGTTACACTCTTGTGCTTTATCGCCATTTGAGCCTTATATTAGCTCTTCGATTCCTTTGTTATCGATAAACCGTGTACCCCGCAGCGGTTGTTTTTCCGAACGCGACTCCGGTCCGTGGTCAGATAAAAAGCGCCATTTTCCAGACCCCTTTGGCTAATTGGAGCGCGATTTATCGGGGGATTTATAAAGTCCGGATGTAATTTGCCTCCTTTCCTCGTGTTTTACATCGACGTTAAAATTATCCGAGAGGGGAAGCACTTTCAGTTGTCGTTCTCCACTGTTGGTTTTTCATAAACGGATAAACGTCGGTTATTTAATTCTTCCCTTTTATGTAATACTTGATTTGTAATGTACTGGTACCTATTGAATTTGGTTTAAAATAAAAATGAGTATTCGCATCAATTTAATACTGAATCCAAATTTAATTTTGTTAGGACTACAGTAGTAACTGTATAAAAATATTCAATGCTCTCACGAAATCTTTGGAGGTAAGAAATATTTCCAATGATAACTAAGATACAATCAAGATTGTTTCAACTTTTAATTTTGAGTTTTAGCATTGTTCTAACATTGTTTAGGTAACCATTGTTCTATTTTACTCGGTATACAATCCAACATTGTTACTTGCTCTATTTAATCACATGCCGCAGTGAGAGTTGAAAGACGCGTCAGGCCTGTAACACCGAGCCAGTGGATGTTTATTTACCGAGGAAACCGTATTTAGTGCCGGAGCGGCGTCTCGCTGGTTACGGTTTTGGTTTACGGTTTGAGCATCTGGCCAAGGCTCAAAGTGCCGACCGAGCAAGTATTGTTGGCTGCTTCACATCGGGACATCACAGACACTAAACCGAGCCACCAGGCTTACAGTGTGAAACAAACTCGATCAAATTGATGTCTGTTTATACAGTAGAAAGATTATTCGCAGGTGTTACTCCGTTAAAATGCTTAATCTTGTATCACACCAAAGAATTTTTTGCGCAAAAAGCTACAGCCTCGAGATAAAGCGGAAGTGTACTAAGTTGAAGTGGTAGGAGATTTGTTTATCGGAAACAAAATTTTCATTTCGCGATTAATCGGCGACCACGGGATAAAGTGGGAAAGTTTACGTGACCGAAAAACCGTCAGAATTAACTTATCAGGAAGGTTTACAACGTGTTTTTCCTACTTCAGAAAATACTTCTTCGATAACACACTTTTTACCACCTTACATCAAAGCCGGTCACAAAGCAAGCTAGAGTAAAAAGCAGCCCACAAGCAAGGCGTGAACGTGGTTTAATAAACAGAAAACACGAGTGTAAGAGCACAGGCGTCACAAGGGCCAAGAGCAATGCCTTTATGAAGCATGTCCTGCAATAAAGGGTGGACACGGCAATATCGGAGGTTCTTTCCCGGACCGGCAATATAGAGTAATTGGCCAGCGACGCTGATTAGCACAGCAATCAGCCGCTCTTTGATACCGCCGGGATTTGCATAAAACACGGCCAGAACAGAAGCGACTCGCTCCTTTCTCGATGAGATTGTTAGCGACAAAATCAGTGTTTCGTGTTGTGTGCGACACCGTACTCTTGTGTTTTGTGCTTTTTACAGCGTACTCTTGTGTTTGCATTATTTGTGACTCCGAGTATGTATCTTGATGGGTCTTGAGAAAATAATGAGTGTTTTGTGATTTTTACGGCAGCGGACTCTTGTGTTTGAATTAGTTGTGACTTAGAATATGTCTCGATGGGTGTTGAGGAAATATGAGTGTTTTGTGTTGTGTGCGACACCGTACTCTTGTGTTTCGTATTTACGGCAGCGGACTCTTCGACTCTTGTGTTTGTATTATTTTTTACTCCGAGTATGTGTTTTGATTGGTGTCGAGGAAATACTGAGTGTTTTGTGTTGTAAGAATCTAAATAATGTGTTTCGTGTCTGTTGATAATGGTGAACTCAGTGTTTTTGTACTGCGAACCCGAAATCTGAATTTAGCTTAATTTACGTCAACCCTGAATTCAAATGTTTCTTCAAGTGTACTGTCAACACTAGGTTGTGAAATTATTTACAATTAGTATTTGATACTGTGACTGTTAACTCATAAAACAGAATTATTGTGTTTTATTGTGTTTATGTTTTAGCAGTGCGACACCGACACCGATTAATTAATCGTGTATCGTGATACTGATAAGCAGAACACAAAAGTCTTGACTTTTATTTATGGAGAAATTAAATTGTTAAGTTTAGTGTTAGGTAGGCCTACCGCGGAATCAATTTCGATGAGCATGGGAACACCGTACTCTAATGTTTTGTATTGTGAAATGTCAAAGTTCATGATGCACACACGAAAAGTAAGCTATTCTCTGAGGTCATAGCTTAGTGATAAGAAGCAGCTGTGTTCAGAGTTAATCTATTTATAGCTTAAGACTAGAGAGTAAGAAGTACTTGGGTAAGCACTTACTCGACTTACTCCGTGGTTCGCGAGGACCATCCACTGTCACCTTGATCGCCTTGCAGTAGGAAGCCACTTGGTAGGGGGAGGTGTTGATCACTATACTCAGCGAGAAACTCTTTCCTGCAACAATAAACACATTGTTAGTATATATTTTCGCAGTTTTTATGTATTTAGTTTTCAGGTTCATCATAATAGTAAGTTATTACATACAATGTTAAAGTATGTTTTCGACCGCTGCCGCGTGAGGTAGTCTACTCTTTGACAGAATCATACCTGTTTTCGAAACTATTACACTACTTAAGAAAGTATAAGGATATTCTTAAAAACAACTTCTTGTCAACAGGCATTTCAAACCAAGAGTAACGTACGCACTGTACAATTTAGTCTTTTCGGGCACGAATCACTCTAAAACCCGTTTCATATTTTATAATGTAGTGAAAAGTCTACTTGTAATATGTCAAATTAATAGTGATAAATATTAAGGTAAACACTTAAGATTTTAAGTATGATTTTTTTTTAATAACGCTTAAAACACTAACTTGGTGAGTCCATAATTAGACTGGTAGAACTTAAAACCAAATGTTAAGTTTCGTGATAGGCCCACTTGAACTACCTAAATTATTCTGAGTAGATACATAATTGTTGTTAGACCTAATTGAATTAGGATACATATGTATAATAAAAATAATTGTATATGCGAATTAGACAATGTTTTGATTCACTCGTTGTTTAAAACAACAAAATCCAAACAATATCTACTTCAGTATTATTTAAACGCCGATAGTCAACAGTCTTCATCATTGAAGGCTGCAGGAATCTATTAAAAAGAGAACTTGACAATTATAATGTATAATATTAAGAATTTGTAATCTTAACGTAAAATCTTTAAGAGTTTTTATGTTGAAGGAATTAGGATGTAGAGATTACCTGGTTTCCTTTCAAGAAATGATTTTATTTACATTCTATGGTATTTACAACGTATTTATAATAATAATGTTAAAGGAGAAATGAGTTCTTCCTACCTAACACGGATATCTTTTTTGAGAAATACATTCTAATACTTTTGTTTTGTTTTCTAGATTGACTAATATTTCTGAACCAACACTTTATAGCATTACCACAAAGATAAAAGTCATTGTTTGGCGTAATTTGAACCTAAACCTAGATTGTCTCACACTTTATCCACACCAACCTCGACCTTATCATTGAATGATCGGCAAAAAAGGTTTTTTTCCAAATCCACAATTTTCCACCTTACACACAAGGTACAGGGGTGGATTTTTTCACGTTTAAAAAACAGAATTTCCATCTGAGCTGAGTAAAGTATAATCCGCCCCTGTGAGGCCACAGACTAACCGTAGCCCCGGACCCAGACACAACACACGTCCCTAGCGTCGCCTCGGCTTTTAGTCCGCAGCAGCTAATGCCGCTGTGGTCACATCCAGCGCAACCTTTTAAACATAATGGCTTTAGCTCCGGTCTATTTATGCTTAAGTCAAATGTGACGATGTTCAAGTTTCAGTTGTCATTGAAAAATTTTCCCAAGTAACACTATTGGTATGCTGAAATGAATTTTGTCAAGAAATTACTATGTAACAATTATTTTGAATATTAAGAATATCAATAATGTATGCTGAAAGTACATATTGGTTTTTATTTAGGATTCTATAGGGGAGTGAACATGTTAGTACTGTAAAGTAGAACTTATGATTTATTTTGTATTATTTAGCAGCTTTTTGTGTAATCTGTTGATTTGTTACTTTAAAAAAATTGTTGTTTTTATGTACATAGTTTTGAATGACTTATCAGAATGTAGATTGACAAAATCGACTGTAGTCAATTAGGCCTATATGTATGATTACTGAGGATTTAATTTACACTTTAGTGAATCAAAACCTAACATTTTTAATTGGTCCATACGTAATCTTTTTATCTACATGTAAATCGAATCTAGTGTGTATTAGTAAAAGAATAAACTATAAATGTATATACAAAAAATCTTACTGCAACAATAATAGCGTATATTTCGTCAGAGTAAATATAAGCCATTTATGTCTTAAAGTGACCATCGTTTTAATAACACTATGGAGACGATCAACAAGAGGTTTTTCTAGTGGATATGTTTAATTCAAGTAACCTCTTTGTACCTTATTGTATCTTTAAGACCTCTAACACATCTTTTATGGTCGCATGGTTCGATATATACTTGTACCACAACATTATAGCCTACTGCATAATATTTATATACTTGGTTAACATATACATCATTAAAACAATGTCAATACATGATACAGGTATGAAATAGTGTTCTTAGCGTTAAAATCATTGATTCAAAACTAATAACAACGAACAATAGCGATTGTGAATATAGTAAATTTTCATATTAAAAGTGTATGATGCCTATCAGACAATAACTTTTGTTTGTAGAAGAAAAATAAATATACATAACTTAGGCCTATTAAGGAAACTGAATAAGTCTGAATCATGAACAGCTTTAACAGGCCTCATGTAACTCGTTATAGCCAAAAGTGCATAAAGTCTAAAGAAGTGGACGAAAAGGAGAAATCTTTTACCTGTTGAACAATTTAGTATATTATTGATATCAAGACGTACGTTTTTAACATGTAAAATAATACAAAGATTTTGCAGAAAACTTGTTTTAATATTGTAATCGTTTAAAAAATTGAGTTTTAATAAAATACTACTTGACTCAAAAATACCTTAAAGTAAATTAAATATAAATACAAATTAATAACGCGTTTCTTTTTCGGGATGATATTTGGTTGGGTTCACTAATTTTGTACTATTAGTGGCACTAAATTGCCCAAGTTGGGTTCCACATTAGTTGGCAGATCCACCAAGTTGCGGGTCCGTGGCGCACCCAACCCCAGTTTGGCGAACCTCCAAAACTTACACTCAATTCTGTCTAATTTCATTGTTATTTCGCCCACTTGGAGGCGGCTTTTATTGTTAGGGTGACTTTTAATTTACCTAATGGACGTCACTATGTGTAGGTGTTAGCACTCCGTAAGGGTGTTGTTTTGTGGTGCACGAGTAAATTATGTTTATAGAAAATATTTTAAAATACATTTTTATCGATTTAAAAGTTTTAAAAATATGTAATATAAACCACCTCACTAAAGCTCTAATAACAAAAATGATAAACTAAGACCTGATTAGAGTAAAAAGACTTTTTGGTATTAGACTAAATATACGTTTTAGTTTTTCAAAAAGGACTCTTTTACACAAGCCATTTAAACATATTCTTACAATTTAAAGCGTTGAATAATTGGTGTTTGGTTACTCTACAAGAAGAAGAATTGAAATATTCAATACACGTCCCCGGGATGTTAAATGGACGTTGGTTACTAACTAAACCATACACTGTATACTGTGAATGTTATATTTTTTGCTCTGATTCATTGATTATGTGACACCAATGAAAAATTAATCATACGTTAATTTAAGTACGTTAACAGGAGGTGTTCAGATACTAAACAATCTAAGTAAAAGTAAATAAAATGTTTAAATGATTGAATGTGGTACATTTGCTACAAGGTGCTGCGGCAGCATTTCAATAAATAGCCTGTAGTTGCCAATGTTACTGTACTGAATAAACGAATTTGAAATAAGTGATATTGAACAATTATTAGTATTTACTATATAGATAAGACCAAATGGTTATAAGCAAGACTACGACATATCCCTGCTTATGAAATATTATATTTTCATTATGTAGTATTTTAATATTGTAATCATTAAACAATACAGGATCCTTTGTAGCCTATTTTACAAATATGATTCTATAAGGAATAAATTATTCATTCTATTGAAATTCTTAGATTTGATTTTTACCTGACCTATAGTTAATTTGGTTTTACTTTCATTTCAAATGTGCATAAATTACCAAGTTGTATACGAAGTAGTTTCTAAAGTTATAAACCATAAAACAGACATTGATTATTGGTGAATACAAATATTGTATAGGCCCAAAGATTCAAATTTGGAATTAAATTCAAATAAAAGATTTTGTATAGACATTGGACCTATTAAATTATGTCAATGCAATATAATTTCCCTTTCAAAACATATTCTTCGGGAGTATTCTTATATTTATTTATGAATGTTAGTACAATTTCAAATATATTATACATATTATATTAATAGTGTATATTAATAGTAATTCTCTATTGTATATCGTCGAAGACTTTAATGACTCTATTCTAGTGTAATGGATGCCCATCTTAAGAATTAATTATTCTTTAAAACAAAGACAAGGTATTAAATATTTTCTAATTACTCAGAAAGAAGCTATTGGTTTCCCCTACATTCTCTGGGTCGAGATTTAGTTATTTTTTATTTTCTCGTGTCCTATTTTTTGCCACGTAAAATAAAGAACCACTAAAAATCACCTCGAATCGATGCAACCAATAGGAAGCGGCTATGCGCGGACGGGCTGCGCGGACCTCAAACTTGCCGAGTTTAACCCAACTTTCAAACCTTACTTTGGTGTTTAACTTCGGTATTTGGCGGGCTTTGCGGTTACTATGAAGGCAACTTTTAATTATAACAAAGAAAATCAAACTGAAATGAACGGCAAGACAATGCTGGAAAATGTATCTTTCTTAGACGATGAGCCTACAGATAAACGAGTAGGCCGATTGCAATAGCAAAATAAATGAATCGTGAAGTTCTAGACCTATTATTATTGAAGGGTGCGTAGTCATACTTTTTAAACTGTATGAGTCCATCAATAAGTAGTTACTTTTGGTGCTAAGAAAAGTTGAAAGTCGATAGAAAATGCCCACTGTATAATTAAAGGCCAGAACTTTGGCTTATTAGCCTATGTAGTAATACAAAAAAGTTGCCATATTACTCAATTAAATAAATAAATAAATAAAACGACATGAAATGAATATTTCGATTGATTCTTGACAAGTAGATATTCCTTCATACTTCAAAAATGTATACATGTTAACTCTTGAATATTGGTTCAGTTTTAAGGTTGAGGTTTACTCCCAGAAACAATCAACGGACTTAAAATTTCTGTTGGTTGCCTATTCTTACCCTACTTATAACCATTTAGTTTTTTAATTGCATTTGGTGCCGCGAAATGGGGTAAATGCAAAGCTAACCTCCAAATTTACCCCCGAGTTCTGCACCACGGCATTGCTATTCTATCCATTCAGGATCGGCTATTATTTTATAAAATAGTTTACGTTACTGAAACTGAAATCTGCTATTGTTAACACAAAATAAAACTCCTTACCTCTGCCACTTCTGCCGACGAACCTGAGGTCGTTGAACTTGGCCACTTGGTTCTTCATGACGGCGGTGCAGTTCCTCAGCTCGGCACAGTAGTTCTCGTCGTTGCCCGCCTTGACGGTGACCACGGTGCCGTCCGTGACGTCGTCCAGAGCTACCACCTTGAAGGCTATGGGGAGACTCTTGTTAGACCTCCAGTGTGTCGGCAGTGCTGTACACAGGATCGCAGGACTCCCGGTCTGCACTAGCTCACCATGGTACTCCTGCAGGGTTTCGTACACCCCGGCGAACAGGTCAGTCGTCATCCCTTTGCCGCCGAGATCCGAACAAGGGAGATGCATCGAGCCGAGGAGGGAAATGTCGACAGACACGATGGTTCACCAGATAGAAACTGTAGTTAGTCGTCACGACGAAAATATTTGCATTATTTGCCGGTGACAAACTTAAGAAGTAATAAAGACGTTTTAAAACCCGATAAACCTATTCAACACTGTAGCGAACACGATAATTTAGCCGGATAGTAAACAATGTTGGCACTATTGCGATTGTTTATAGTTGCGCACAAGTTTGTCCAAGACGGTAGCGAGGGTAGCGCGGGGGGTGCGATGCGTCAGTGTCGCCACTCCACACACTACTGTGAGTGTCGCTCAAAAACTGCTCAGAATCGCCACTTTTTTCCCACCCCGCTTCCCCACCCCTGTTCCTTTTTCGTCAATATTCTTTCTCCCCCTCCACCGATTTTTTTCCGCACGCCCGCGAGTGCGAGCGAGACAGAAAACTCTCCCCTCCAATCCGGGTACCGCGGTTAGTGCCGTGACCACCCGCCCGCGTTTTGCGGCCAACCGGCGAACTAAAACCTTTTTCCCTCTCCCTCGACGCCGCGTATCCGGTGAAAAGAAAGCGCCAAAGAGGGAGAAGCCCCTCCCCTCATTAGCTCCCCTCCCCAGGCGGTGACGACTGTGACAGCGACAGTCCCCCGACCTGGTCTTCTTCACTTTACTTGACACTTTGCACTTCAGCCCACTCCACCACCGCTGTACCACACCGTGCAAAGTTCCTTACGCGTAAACTTGTTTGTTTGTGGCCCGTGTCGCATAAACTAGCTTTGTTATTGTTCTGGGATTACCCAGGGCGCTAGTATACCTCCGGTTTTATTTGTTTAGCCGATAGTGAGCGTTTATTTCCTGATTTGTTTTTGTTGGTGCTCGCTCGGTTATTGGCTCGCTGGTTTATTGTTTCATTTTTAGGGGTTTCGTGTTTCAATAGCTGTAAAATATTTTCCCTCAAAGATTGAGGAACTACTTAAATTTGCAATGCAATTAAAACTAATACGTACTTGAATTAATCTTGGACAAACTTTAAAATTTAATATTCTTTGTTCACATTCTACTTCAAGGTAAAACTAGACATTCCATCCCCATGTTAAAGTTGTAGCCAGGTTTTTAATAAAATAATTCTTAGTTGATGTGAGCCACCTTCAGATTGTGCTGATCTAAATTGCTGATTTCTGCCGATTACATGATGTTTTTTACCAAGTCAAACTGATGGAATCTGTATCCAATAGTCAATGGTAAAACTTAAAAACGGAAAATCCAATCCAATTGAATAGGTCTAAGATAGGCCTACATAATCATATGATATCCAACTCTAGAGACATTTATTCATTTACATTTACCATTATAGTAGCCCTAATCATTAAATTTATTAGTTAATTTAATGGCGTATTTTCTAAAATCAAAAATGTTTGTTAAAATTAGAACTACCGAAAATCTGCAAAACTGCAATATTGGCCATATCACGTTAAACAATCTCTTATCATGATGATAAAGAGTGTTAGAAAGCCATGTAACTAAGTAATGATTAAGGTACTTGCCATTTATTAATGATGCCAGTGTTGACGTAAGTCTACGAACAGTTTTTAAATGTAAAGATTCAAAAATAAACTTTTTACTAAAACAAAAACCAAAATCACGGAGAACAATGGCTTTTAAATCTTTTTACATAAAAATCACCCAACTCTGCCAACTACATAGATATTACATAACCCCTGAACCATTTTATGTATTGATGAAATAAAAAAAGATGGGTACATATAACACAAAACACAGTAGGCCTACAGGAAAGAGTGGGTGAATGAATTATAACTGTGTTAAATCTTTAGAGCTAATACAGTGTTTAATTTTTTGTTTCACTATTTTTATGTGTAAACGGTGTCAAGTCAACGGTATTCTTTGAAGGGCAAATACAAATTTGGAAAATATAAAATTTTATTTCTCATTTTTTATCAAACTATTAGATGCATGCGTAAAACCCCTTAAAATAAATTATTGGAAAACCATAAACAATTTAAAATGTTAAAAAAATATTAAGTTATTGAAGGGTAGTTTACTTCTTAGTAACACTGTATAATTGGTGGCTTTTTCATATATTATGTATCGTTATTAGTTTTTTTTTTCATAATTACCTTATTATGATTTTTTTTATCCTCGGTGCCTGTCTATATAGTAATTCAAATCGTGAAATACGGATATGCCGTCATTATCACTTAATTACCGGTATTATAATCGTAGCCTACTTAAAAAATTGTTTACATAGATTAGGAATTTATCTACCTACGTTTCAACGTGAGTACGGGCTACAACACCTCGTCCTTGACTTTTGCCACGTTGAAGGCTTTTTCCAAAACACTGCACAACTTGAGTATAGAAAGGAAGGGGCAATGATGCAATATGAGTACAGTTATTAGATTGCATACGTGTATTCTGCAGGCGCTGCCACACAACGTTTCAATAAAGGCCAACAACCGTTTGATTTTACAGCAAGTTGATTTTTTTCCTGTTTTCATATATATAACAATTTATTGTTTTAATATACGTGATATTAAATACAACAAGAACATTTAGGATAAAGAACAAGATTATCTCGCTTGTCAAGACCAACAAAACTTTGACAATTAATTGTAGTGGTTTGCATTCTTATTTTGGTTGTGAACCAAAAATAAATCTTGGCAAGATAAAAAAATAGTTTATACTTAAGTTATTAAAGTTGTTTTCTGCTCAACTAAATTCATAATTACCACACTGAATTACTCCTTGCTCAAATAACATTATTTAACGGTTTCGACCCCGTTTCTGGTTAGTTGGCATGCCTTAGAAGTATATGTTTAGTTAGGGAAGGATAGTTTAAACCAAAACTACAATAGCTGATTATTTAGAGACCGAGTTCCAAAACCAAAAACCCACAGTTAGTCTACCTGCTCGGGTGACAATGGTATTGTCCCCCATAGACAAACTGAAACACTATACCGCATGATATTTGTGGTCTGATTTAATACAACATTGAGTAGTAAACAAACTTTAGGCCATTTTTCATAAATATACCAAAGAAAGGCTTTTAATGATGCAGTTTCGCAAGGCCCAAACTAAGATGTAACTGACCTATTATTGTTGTTTATTTCAATACTTGAAATATATATAACAAATTAAGTATGGGTTTTTTACAACCCATTTTTTACCTCATGTCACACAAAGTACTATAGTAAATATTTGTCCTTATATTTTGTATATTGCACAGCACTAGGTGTCTATTTACCTTTGTGTGTCCTGTTTAACAAGCACAATATTCAGTTTCCGTTCCCCTCTGTTTGATCATATAAAGTACGACATTAAATTTGTATTTTGAAATTTGTTTGTCTAAAAACAGTAGCAAAAAAATGTTCAAATGTATAATATCGTTTGTTTGTTTCGATCAGTTTGACAACATGCAGTATGAAGTACAATAATGTTCAATTGTGATGTATCAGAATTTAGTTTTTAATTTAAACAACTTTTGTTTATTTTGGCACATACCACAATATTCAGTTGTTATTCCACTCACTTTTGACTAAATGTGGTACAAAGCACAGAAGTGTTTTTGTTATTTTGTACTGAGGCTGATCAAATATGGAAAATAGCAGAATAGCGTAGGTTCATTTCGTTCAGTTTTAGACAAATTGGTACAAAGCACAATCATAAATGTGTTTTTTCACCCATGGTTACCTCATGACATCATATCGTGTGTTTAATTCGTCCAGTTGTGACCATAGGTAAAACATGTCAATATGCCGTGTGTTTATTTAACCTAGTTCTGACAATAAGTACATAGAACAAAATCGTGTGTTTATTTCACCTAGTTCTGACAATAAGTACATAGAACAAAATCTTGTATTTATTTAACCTAGTTTTGACAATAATTAGAACACAGAACAAAATCGTGTGTTTATTTCACCTAGTTCGGACAAGAAGTAGAAAATAGAACAAAATCGTGCGTTTTATTTTGCCTGCTTCTGACGACAAGTATTGAATAGAACAAAATAGTGTGTTTATTTCGCCTATTTCTGACAACAAATAGTGCATGGAACAAAATCTTGTGTTTATTTAACCTAGTTCTGACAACAATTAGTTCATATAACAAAATAGTGTTTATTTCATCTACTTCTGACAACAAGTAGTGCATGGTACAAAATCGTGTGTTAATTTCGCCCACTTTAGACCACATGTTTCACCTTGTTTGGACCACATGAGTTACATATCACATCACTGTGTGTTTATTTCGTCCAGTTCGGCCACATGTGATACAAAGTCCATGTTTGTGTTGGTCACGTGATCGTTCACCTAGAAGGACGCAATCACTCGCCGCCCTGTTACAAGCGATAGCAGCAACGTTTGTAGATGTTACACCACTGGTTTGTTTACCCTCAAGTAAATGTAACTGTTCCACCTGTAAACAAGGCTTGCAACAATTTCAACATTTATTTAATCGTATGTTGAACAAACTATCAACTAAATTTTAATAAATCGTTATACTCTTTTATTTTTCATAAGAAACATTAGGATTGTTATTTTATCACGAAATAAACATGTAGTTAGAACCCTAGAAATTAAATTTGTCTATTATTTAACAAACTAACTTCCTACTTTTGAACTGTCATTTTTATTATGATAGATTGATCAATTAATATTATGGATATTTTCTACAAAACTTCACCAATTAACTTTATGTTTCAAAACGTATATACAGGTTTAGTAAAAAGTGTGGAGACCCCCTGTTATTTTTTTAATGGCCCATGCTAGAAAAACTAAACTCAGCACACCTTTATGACATGTTATGAAGTACTTTTTGGGCATACCCGTTTATTGGTGTACATCCCCAAAATGTGGGATTTTGGGGGAAACTCAAAAATTTCAAATACAAAGACCCATCAAGTGACGCCTCATTTTGAAGGTCATGGTAAAAGAAACCCAACAACGCAAACTAGAGGTCTTTATCTCAATCCAGTAAAAAATGGCAGTCAATTTAAATTCTCAGAAGTTAAATTTAACTTACAGCTTTCCAAGTCTGGAGACCCCCTGTAAAATTTGTAGGGGCTCACACTAGGTAGGAAAACTAAACTCTACACACCTTTTTGGCATGTTATGAAGTACTTTTTAAGCCTAATAGCCTTTTGCTTACCAAACCCAAAATGGGGGATTTTGGGGAAAACTCAAAAAATTTAAATGATAAGCCCCATCGAGTGACCCCTCATTTTGAAGGTCCTGGTAAAAGAAAACTAACAACGCAAACTAGAGGTTTCTATCTCAATCCAGTAAAAAATGGAAGCTGATTGAAATCTTTAGAAAT